TCCCTAAGGAGCCCTGGTGGCACAGTTTAACTTTGGGCTGCTAACCATAAGGTTGATAGTTTGAATCCACGAGCCACTCCACAGAAGAAAGATGTGATCATCTGCTGCCATAAAGATCTACAGCCATGAAACTCCTTTGGGGCAGTTCTATTCTGTTCTATTGGGTCTCCATGAGTCGAAGGCAACTCAGTGGCAATGGGTTTGGTTTTGGGCTTTATCATTTTCTGAATTTCTTGAAAACAATTGAGCAAAAACAACCAAGAAAGAGAGTGGATTTGAAACGTAGAGCTGTGTTTATGAAAATATAAATAATGACTTGTTAGTGGCTTACCAAATCATTTTAGTGTGTCACCTCAGGATTTAAAATATGGGAATAGAAAAGTCTAGAATGTACTACATGATGTAAGAATATATTGTTTTGTGAAGCCTTTGTTTTGATTGTATTTGTATGTATGTTTACTGGGTTGTGATAGAAAATATATTTCTCATTGAATTGGGTTAAAGAAAAGTTTAAATGTCATTTCCTTACCAAACATAGCAATTTTGTACTATGAATGGGATCGTTCCTGAAAGTCACTTAATAAAATTGGTTTAATACATCACAATATTGTAAGCACAACTCAATTAGAGGCCAGAACTCCAATTACATATTCATAACCCCCAAAATATGACCAACAATTTATTCATTCACCAGGATTGGCATGAAAAAAATTCTCATGATTTCTCAAACTCAACCTCCTCTCTGAATGATGACTGAATAATTTGTTTTACAATCTGAAGTCAATACCAAAAACTGTTTGAAAAATGTTTAGGGCAAAAGGAACACCACTAACACTAGACTCAAGTCACTATTCTCAAGAATGCTTTGTAAGTTTCTAGTTGTATCATATGATCACCATTTAATTGTAATTATTACGTAATTCCTCTCAATGAGACGGAATATTTATAGAACTGAAACCTAATTTTTATTACCTCTTCATTCTTTTTTTTTTAACTTCTTCATTCTTAATGAATGTATATATATTGTCTAGCACAAAGGAGACATTTAATAAGTGTTTGTCAGGAAGACAGTGCTCCTTTAGATAACTATGTGTTTTGAAATGATAATGAAGGACTGAAGGGTTCTTAGGATTCTTAGGCACTTTAAAGAATGTACTTTTCAAAGTCTCTCAGCTCTTCACAACAGGGATATATTGGGGTTAAAATTCATAGCTTTCAAAATCAAAGAAACAAAATTCAAAACAAAGACATTACTCTGATATCATATCATATATGCAAGCAGGAGCAGGAGCACTCTCAAATGTTCTGGTACTGAAAAATTTAGGAAAGTAGTTTTTATAAATTTGCTTGTTGGCACATAAACTTTGCTTCTAATATTTTACTCTATTGTGTGGTGCTACAGGATAATGCACTGCAACGCAAAGTCGGCTAGAACTGTAAGGTCAGTGGTTCAAACTTGAAAACGCTATACAGGACTCCAGTGTACTTAACAACAACAACAAATGAGTAGGAAATGACTCAACGGCACTTAACAACAACAACAGATGTAGACACAGGAGTCTTGGTGTGACACTGTAGGATAAGCAGATGTAGACACAGGAGTCTTGGTGTGACACTGTAGGATAAGCAGTGGGCTGCAAGGTCATTTGAGTCATAAGGTCGGCAATTCACACTCACCAGATGCTCCTCAGAAGCCCTGTGTAGGACTGCTGTGAGTCTGAATGACTATATGGCATTTAACAGCAACAAATGGAGACGCATAATTACTCATCTCAGTGCTATTTACTTACAATAGATAAAAATGTCCAATACATTAGTGAGTAAATTGGACTGTCTGGGTGTTGTGAATGGTTAACACGTTCTGCTTCTAATGAAAAGGTTGGAGTTTCCAGATAACCCTGAAGTGCCTTGGAAGAGAGAGCTGACAACCTATTTCTGAGAATTCAGCCATTGAAAACTCTATGGCACAAACTCAGATACTTAGACACACATGCAACCACCATGATTAGAATCAACTCCCGGAAAACAGTTGCTGTTTGTTTGTTTTTGGTTTAGGGAGTAAATGATGATAATTCTCAGTATCATATGCAGTCTTGAAAAATAATGATATTCAAATATATTGGCATAGAAAAATACTCAAAGGAGGAACAGCAACAGGAAGAAGTGGAACAAGTGATGTTATATTGAGGGAATTGCAATCATTGAGATGAAAAGAAACATGGTTTGTTGAATGCAAAACTGATAATCTGCTCTGTAATGCTTCATTCAATTCACAATAGATTTCTTTTCAGAATTAAGCAGTTCAGACCTACCTAATTGGATTGTTGTCAAGAGTGAACAAAGTATATGTAAACTACAGAACTTAAAAATATGCACAGGCACATTGTAACTACAGAATAAATGGTGGTGGTGGTTACATGCCTTGGAGTGAATTCCTACTTATAGGGACCACGTATTGCGTTTCCTATTCTATAAATCTTCGTGGGAACAGAAAGCCTCATCTTTCTCTCCAGGAGCAGCTGGTAGGTGGAAATGACCTTGCGGTTAGCAGCCCAACTAGTATCCAACTATGTTACCAGAATTCTTTACAGAATAAATGTTGTTGTTAAGTGCTGTGAGTCGGTTCTGACTCATGACTACCCTGTATAGGGTTTCCGAGGAGTGGCTAATGAGTTTGAACCTTCAACCTAGCGAGTCAAACCGATCTTGTGGTCCAGTACTTTATCCTATGGCACCATACCAAGATTCCACAGAATAAATGTTGTTGTTAAGTGCCATCGAGTCAGTTTCGACCCATAGCGACCCTGTCTAGGGTTTCCAAGGAGCAGCTTGGTGAGCTTGAACTGCCGGCCTTGCAGTTCAAACGGCTTTGCAGTCTGGCGCATTAACCCACAGCGCCACACTAGGACTCCACAAAATAAATAGTTCATTAAAAAAAAAAAAAATCATTTGTATTGTTTGGTTACATTTCTTTAAAACAGTTTCTCCTAACGGAAAACATATTGTTAGATTTTTATGTAAAAGTATTTGCCGGCTACCCAACTTAATATGAAAGTTCATTTGAAATGGTGCCAGTCCGAGGTGGCAGATTGCCTTGATGACATCACTCTGCATTATGTATAGTTTCTACAATGTAACTTTCCCCCTAAGTTTCAATTAAAATCATATTCCAAGGAGAGCATTCTCCAGCCCTCTGCCACAATTCCTCTCGAAGACAATTCTAGCATTGCTTTTTATTTTACATACACAACCAGACAAACTGTGCATTTTAGGAACCATAACAGAGAAGAAAGGATGGATGAAGGGCACAGGTTTGTTAATACAGAGGAAAACACTTTGAGGTTAGGTTACACCGAAAAGATAAACTGTCCCCCAGTATATTCCTCATTTAACTACCGAGAATATCTAAATTTTTACTTTTCATTGTAATCTCAAATTTCTTCTTTGCCAAATATGCCCTTCTCAAACACAGCAAAAGCGTCTGGTCCACAGCCCTCTTGCCTCCGGAGGTTTGGGAAGACTGAATTCATGCCTGCTGCCCATGGAGCAGTCACAGCGCAGGAGTTTTGAGGGGAGCCGGGAGAAGAGGGGTCATTAGGGAGGGGGGTACGTCCAGGGTTCGAGTTCCCACCGGAATCCACCGAGAAGGGGTCGCATCACTGGAAGCTAAGTCTGGCCTTGGCAGTGGAGGGGATCTCGGCCGCCCGCTAGCTCGCTCGCTCGATCTCTCGCTCGGCGCCGGCACAGGTGTCCGGGTGGCGAGCGCCGCCTGTGCGCGGGGGCTGGGGGCCCGAGGGGGAGGTTCCCCGAGGTGGTTCTCCGGCTCCTCCTCGGCGCCTCAGGTTTCCTCTCTCCGCCCGCCGGCTGGTGGCAGCGGCGCCGCCTCCCTCGCTCCCTCTCTCCCCGCGGCTGGGCCCACGCTCCGGCCTCTGCCCTCGCGTCCCCCGCCCGGGCCTCCTTCCGATTGCTCGCTCGCTCCGCTTC